CCACCTCATGGACTTCAAATTTGGCTATCTGTCTATCAGTTCCCTCGTTTCTTGTGAAACGGAGGGCTACTGAGGGTGTTTCTTGTGACTTCAATATTGCCCAATCTCCTTCCTTCCAAACTATACCTCTTTTTAGCGTTGACCTCCAAGCTATTGGGATACTGTCTATCATTTCTTCTAAGTTTTTCTGCAAATTGTGGTGGCCTTTCAGTTTAGTTCTAAGGTCCTCTTCTGATTTCCACCCGCTATTTCTCTCATCCCATATGTGTTCGATCTTCCATATGCCTTTCTCTACCCAAGTCCTCCATCTCTCTTCCCCCTCGCCTTGAGCGACCATGTCACTCCATTTTGGTCTTTCAAGAAGTCATTCCCAAATAGTGGTTGTCTCAAAATTTCCTCTTTTGTTTTTGGAGTTCTTTTTCTTTGAGGGAAGGCTTCCCTCCATGTTGCTATCAGCTTTGTCCAGTGGCTGCTTGGGGGATCGGCGTTCGGTAACTGGTTCCTTTATCTAGGTCTGCCTCCTTCTCTTCTGGGTGTCCAGTATCTGTTCATGATCCATGTGTGAACCTCTATACTGTCATGTGTTTTAAATGGTAGCAGGTTTCTTATTTGGTATAGGGCCATTTCTTGCCATGGTAGTTCCGTTTTTAGCAAGAGTCTTAAGATCCACTTTGTCTGAAGCGCTTTATATTCCGTTACGGGATCGATGAGGCTGATCCCTCCCTCCTCTATTGGATTGGTTACATATTTCCAAGCTACTTTGGAAATGAATTGGTTCTTGGATGCGTCTCCTGTCCATAAGTAAGCTGCTGCTTTTCTCTTTATGTCCTTCATGAAGTGGGTGGGTGGGTCCCAGATTGACGCCGTGTACCAGACCATGGAGAAAATCGATGAATTGATGACTAATGCCCTACCCATCAACGACGTGTAGATCTTTTGCCATCCCTTATACTTATTCATGACAGCTGAGAGTAGGCTCGTTGCTATTCAGTTGCTGGTCCCTGCCAGGGTAACTGTGATTCCCAGGAATTTAAAAGGAACTTGGTGATCCATCCATTGTAATCCCTGTGTCGATTCATTGTTTGGGGGGGGGGGTGTTTATGAAAGCCACCATCCTATTGTTTTCTTCCAATTTATCTTCATTTCTGAAGCAAGGTGGAAGGCTTCCATTGCCTTCGTTAGTGCTAGAAAGGATGAATCCGATGCCCTTATGAGGACCGTTAGGTCGTCTGCGAATAACATCACTATTGGAAGTTGGATCCGCTTGTTCCGCCCGTCATCAAGGGTCTGTAATCTTTCTATGGAGGGGTCCGTTCGCAGGAAGGTGGCTATTGCTTCCATGACAGAGAGAAATATTGGGGCAGTTAGTGGATCCCCTTGCCTTACCGATCTCGTCATTCTGTACAAATCTGATAGGTGGCCGTTGACCTGGACTCTTCCCCTTGCGTCCGCGTATATCACTCTCACCCAGTTTCTAAAAATTGTCCCCACTCTCATTTTCTCCATGCATTGCTGGAGGAAGTCCCAGTTGACTTGATCGTAGGCCTTTTCAAAGTCAAAGAAGAGAATGGCAGCTTGTAATTTCTTATCTCTTACTAACTTTGTTGTTTCATTCAKGCAGATTACGTTATCGAGGATGAATCTTCCTGGGATRAATCCTGTTTGATCTAAATGGAAACATTTATCAGTTACATTTCTTATTCTATTGGCTAGGACCTTTGCTATTATTTTATAGGCTACTGTTAGTAAGGATATTGGCCTATAATTCCTTATGTCTTCCCTTTCCCCTTTCTTGTATAGTAATGTTACTACTCYYGTGCTAACGTCCTCTCCTAACGTCCCTCTCTTATATGCTTCTTGGTAAAATCGCAGGAGATCCCTCCCTAGCAAAGGCCAGTGTTCCTGCCAAAATTCTCTCGTTAGCCCGTCGATGCCTGGGACCTTGTTTGGTTGCATGGAGTCAAGTGCTCCATGTACCTCTGCTAGAGAGAGGTCTTTGTCCAAGTAGGCTGTTGCTTCTGGCTTGATGCAGTTGTCAAGGTGTTTCAGGAACTTTTCCCTCGCCCTTCTAATAGCTCCACTATTTTCTCCTGATGACTGTGATGTGTATAATTTTTTGTAGAAGTTAGTGGTTATTTGTAGGAGTTCCTTGTGTTGGTTTTTTAGAGTTCCCCCTTCATCCCTCAGTTCTAGGATCCTGTTGTTTCTGCAGTTGGATTTGTTTTTTTGGAAGAAGAATTTCGTCATTGATTCGTTACTCTCCCAGTCCTTTATTCTTGCTCTGATGCTCAGGCCCCTTCTCTTCCATTCCGCCCATTGGGCCAGTTCTTCTTTTGCCGAAGAGAGTAGGTTTTCGTACATTGGGGAGTCTGAATTGCGGACTAGGTTAAATTTTGTTGTTTCTACAATGGACTCCAGGAGTTCTTGCCTTTCCCTTCTTCTTCTGGCTTTGTTTCTTGATTCCTTGCTTAATTCCTTGCTTACGCGATGTAGGGTTTTTTCGAAGTCTGTGACTATGTCCTCCCCTTGTGTTTGTTGAGTGCAAGCCTCCCATGTTTGTCTAACCACCTTTCTGAAAGCCTCTAGTTTTAGTAAGGAGTTATTGACTTTATAGAATCCTTGGCCTACAGCATTGTCTAGGCCAAAGTTCAGTGTGAGTCCTATTTGCTTGTGGTCAAAGCCCTCGTAGAAGGGGGGTTTAAAGACTGTTAAAGCAAGTACGGTCCCTGATAGCGTTTCTGAGATCAAGAAGTAGTCTATCCTAGATAAAGATGTTCTCCCCTGTTGTGTCCTCCTAGTGCACGTGAATTTCTTGGCCTTAGGGTATCTTGTCCTGAACGGGTCTATTAGTTCCTTCTCCGTGATAAAGTCTAGCATTATATGGGCTTCCGTTTCATCGTATCCCTCCCTAGCATGAGATATTCTGTCAAGGAGGGGGTCTACTGTAGCATTCCAGTCTCCCACTGCTATGGTATGCCGGTGGTTCGGGCACTCTCGTTTGATGACCTCTATTACTTTCTTTCGTTGGGCGTTAGTGTTTGGGGCGTATATGTTTAGTAGAGTTATTTCTTCCTCCCTATAGCTGAAATCTATCCTAATCCATCTGCCTCCCTCGGTATCCTTGGTTACTTGGTTTATTTGTAAGTGTTGTAATGCTTTAGATTTTTCATGGAAGAGAATTAGCACTCCTGCCGATGCCGGGCCTGGGCTGTTTACCCATTCCGCTCTCCATACATACCTCAGTCTTCTCACTATTTCTGCCTGTATTGTTTTATGTTCATCGGAGTTGGTTAGATGTGTTTCTTGCATGCAGACTATGTCTGGTGGGTTATTGTCAAACCATTTGAGGTTAGCTGTTAAGCTGAACCATTTTGTCGGGGTTGACAAAAGGGTGGCCAGCCCGTGTACGTTCCATGATCTTATATCTATTCCGCTTCTTTCTTCGCTCTGTGGCGTTCCTTCTCCCCTCCCTCCTTTTGCTCACCCCCCCAGTCCGTGGTTCAACGTTCTAGTCTAACCGGTTCGACTGATCTGGCCTAGTTCAAGGGGATGTTGTGGTCATCATTCGCATGGTTGTCTCTTCTCCCACCTCCTGCAGCTCTTGCAGCCTGTCTCCCAACTCCCTTTGTCCCATCCTGTGAATTTTTTGGGCAAAGGTGATTGCCAGGCTTGCCGCTGGTAATTCTGGCAATACACTTGTGCCCAGGGCTGTGTATGGTAGTTGTGAGATTTGCCACCAAGGCCGCCATTGCAGGTTGCTTTTTAAGGGTGACCCAGGACTGTATATGGCTACCACTGGTCTTACATCCAGGGTTTTCTCCTTGCCCTCGGTCCCTCTTCCATTCGTGGTAGGAACCCTCAGTGTTTCTCCCAACAACCCAACTTTGACTGGTTCGTTTTCTGAGATCGCAGATGTAAGCCTCTCCTCTATACTTTGGCCCTTTTCCAGTCTGGGGAGGCCGAAATTGGTTGTTGTTGCTATGTGTCAGTCCTCTGTTTGCACATCGAAACTCATGGCCAAGATCGAAACTCATGGCCAAGATCGAACTTGGGTATCAACTGTGAATCAGATCTGAGTCACAGTTGATACCCAAGTTCGAATCCTGATGGACTCAGATAAATTTAATTATGTGTTCAATCACCTGTGGCCGGTCAATTGGATGATGATACCTCAAGGTCGTCCGCCTTCTTACTTCAAAAAAAAAAAAAAAAAAAAAAAAAAAAAAAAACAAGAAGACCCCACCCTGCTGAACTCTCCAAGTCCTGAGTGAGCCCCTGACACCTTCAGGCGAGCTGTGAAGGACCTAGTTTCCGATGATCAAGGTAATCTTGCTTTTCTATTTCTAACTTAGTGTCGTTGGAACTTTGAAGTTGAATTTCAAATAAAAGCTAAAGCCATTTTGCATTACAGAATAAGTCAGCATTCTGAATTTTAATCTAGAAGCAACAGTTTGCTGTAATTTTAAGTGGGAGTCGGGCCAGACTCGAAGCAGACAAAAAGGTAGCCATAACCCGAGTAGACCCCACAACCCACAGCAGACAGACCCAGATTGGTCCCTAAGGAGGTCCAAAGCAGACCCACAGCAGATCCAACGCAGGCCTCTAAGCAGATCCAAAGCAAATCCAAAGCAAATCCAAAGCAAATCCAAAGCAAATCCGAAGCAAATCCAAAAGCAGACACCCACAGAACGGGCCCTAAGCAGGTCCGAAGAAGATCCACAGCGGATCCACAGAAGATCCAAAGCAGGCCTCTAAGCAGATCCAACGCAAATCCATAGCAAATCCAACGCAAATCCAAAGAAAATCCAAAGCAAATCCAAAGCAAATCCAAAGCAAATCCAAAACAAATCCGAACCAAATCTGAAGCAAATCCGAAGCAGATCCAAAAGCAGGCAGACCCGGAGAGAGCGCTAAGCAGGCCTTAAGCAGATCCACTGCAGAATTAAATCAGGCCTCAAAGCAAAGCCAAAGCAAATCCAAAGCAAATCCAAGGCAAATGCAAAGCAAATCCAAAGCAAATGCAAAGCAAATCCAAGGCAAATCCAAAGCAAATTCAAAGCAAATTCAAAACAAATTCGAAGCAGATCCAAAAGCAGATAGATCTCGAAGCAGACTCAAAGCAGATGGACGTAGAGCGAACCTGAAGCGGACCAAAAGCTGCCCACAACCAAATAAGCCCGTACGCACACAAGGGTTGTCCTGATGTACCTGACGGCTTTGATGGCCACACGTGGACGCACCTGACCACAATTACCTCGCGTGCTCAGTGGAAGAATTCCTACCACCGGAGAGAAGGTTAACAACATTCGTATTTTTCATCACCGCTTCAGGACACCCTTCACCACTTCATGATGCAACCTGCCTAAACAGGTGGTTTTCAGGGTCTTCGAACCTTTCACCACTTCAGGACACCCTTCACCACTTTAGGATGCTACCTGCCTAAACAGGTGGTTTTCAGGGTCTTCGGACCTTTCACCACTTCAGGACCGTTCAGGATTTTCAGACTGCCCAAAACTCTCATTTCACCACTTCAGGATGCGGCCTGCCTAAACAGGTGGTTTTCAGGGTCTTCGGACCTTTCACCACTTCAGGACCATTCAGGATTTTTAGACTGCCCAAAACTCTCACTTCAGAATTTTCATTCCTGAATTTTCAGCTACCTATTAACCGCTTGTGAACTAATGTAGATTATCTTTTCGTTTGGTTTTAACTTAAGACAAAATTTAAATGAATAGCGAGATCTATGAGATATGTGTCACATTGTCACACACACACATTCATTCATAACGCACACACACACACACAATGTGTTTGCTACCGTTGCCATACGTACCCAACTGCTGCACAAGTCTAAGATGGTCACACCAGGAGTGTTGGTAGGGGGAAACACCGAAGCGTAGTACTTGGAGAGCGCATTGATTGCCGGATCATCGATGTGAGTCACAAATCTTGGAAAAGAATAGAAGTCCGTGTCTGGAGTTCTGAGGGAAACAAAGACAGAACACAAAAGATAAAAGAAGAAGAAGAAGAGAAAGAAGAAGAAAAAGAAAAAAAAAAAAAAAAAAGAAGAAGAAGACAGGCCATATAACAAACAGCAAACACAACATAAGCACGGTTTGCATGGTTGGTTAGACGATGGGGATTCTTCGCACGCCATAGCGCGTCAAACTTCTTTCAAAAAAAAAAAAAAAAAAAAAAAAAAAAATGCAGAAGGCAATCTTATATCGACAGACAAATACAAGCAGAGAGAGACCACACAAAAGAAGTGAGCGCCAAACTTGTTTCAAAAAAAAAAAAAAATGTCGAAGGCGATCTTCTATCGACAGACAAACACAAGAAGAGAGAGACCACAGAAAAAGAGCGGATCAACGAATGGAAGAAGTTCCGAAGAACGCACTGACATAAATACACACACAGGATGAACGAACAAGGTTCACAGAGGGAGAAGCGGGGGGGGAGAGAGAGAGAGAGAGAGAGAGAGAGAGAGAGAGAGAGAGAGAGAGAGAGNGAGAGAGAGAGAGAGAGAGAGAGAGAGAGAGAGAGAGAGAGAGAGAGAGAGAGAGAGAGAGAGAGAGAGAGAGAGACAGACAGAGAGAGAAAGAGACAAAGACAGAGTTGAGGTAGAGAGAAACAACGTCAGAAAGACAATCATGGGTTCCACAGACAGACGGAGTTTGAGGTAGAGAGAAACAACGTCAGAAAGACAACCATGTGACGATACTGGCCAATTTCGAAGTACAACATTCATGAGAAAGTACAATGTCGTTCAATTGCAAAAAGAAATGAATGAACCTGAGAGGAGAGAGAGGGAAAGAAAAAGAAGAAGAATTTCGGAGGGAAACATCATTGCAGGCTCTGATATTGCCCGTACAGGCCCTAAACTCAGACTGGTCGGACTGGTACCCGTCTAGACCTAGCCTACAACTTCTGGGCCTATAAAAATACCAACTTTTGTCTTCTTCTGCTTGCCTCGAGTACCCGGCACATCTACTTCTACTCGGTGTGATACCGGCCTACTTGCTACTTGAGTGTTTTTCCGTTGCTCTAAGTGTCGCGGGCCTCTTGCCCAGCCGCTTGAGTGTTTTCCCCCGCTGCAACCCTCAATGTCACGGCCACAGGTAAGTACCGGCCCTACGGGTCTCCCAAACAAGCAAGTACCCTTGCGTGTCACACACACACTAAGGCCGACAAGCACTCAGACAGGAATGCAGGTCACCAAGCACGCACACACACACAGTCTTAGAAAACTCTGTAGAATGCAGGAATCTCAACAAGGCATCCATTTCATTGGCAGAACTCAGAAATCAGCAGTGTTGTCAGTCTGTGTTATGGCGGGTCATTACAACCATTTGATTCACACAGAGAGAGAGAGAGAGACGCATACCAAGATGGTACAGACCAGAACCAAGAACCGACCTGTCACGGATAGAGCAAGATAGCGAAGCGGAAGACTGGAATACCAATGATCAGACCTAATCAATGTCGAAACACAGACTGGACATACATCATCATCATCATACGGTGTGAATGGCCTAGCGCCGCACACAAGGACAAAGGTGCCAGGCCTAGCTCATACACAGATGAGGAGGAGAGGGAAGAGACAAAGAAGAAGGGGGAAGAGATGAGATGTCGTCAACCCAAATGTCACTGATATCAATCCCAAGTAGTCCCCCCAACGTCCCTGTCCAATGTTGAGTCTGAATCCCAAGTGTCGTCAATCTCTCTCTCTCTCTCTCTCTCTCTCTCTCTCTCTCTCTCTCTCTCTCTCTCTCTCTC